CAGCGGCCATGGCTCACAGGCCCAGCTGCTCCGCGGAATGTGGGATCTTCCTGGACCGGGGCACGAACCCACGTCCCCTGCATTGGCAGGCGGACTCACAACCACTGCGCCACCAGGGAAGCCCCACACATAGTATCTTGATGTCTCTCTTTTTATGATGTTACTAGTTGTTGATTCATATGTATGTTAATTCACTGGGTTTACAAAATGGTGATACTCTAATTCTTTTGTTTTCCTCATTTATTTGTTTGAATACCATTTTAGACAGTTCTTGTCTTCTGTTATTTGGTTACAGGTTGTGCAATTCATGTAGAATAAATGCTTGACTCTTTACCTTTATTTCCTAGTTTATAGGGAAATGAGTTGGTTCTCAGTTATGTACAAGGTGACCAACTCTTATTTTTAATATCATTATGAATTTATAGTTTTAAACATATTTGATGGGTTTCAAATTACTACAACTATCATCATTATTGGAGTATAAAGTGTCCTGTCTTTGACCAATGTGAGCCTCTTCAAGTTGATTCCTGAGTCCTTTTGACATGACCCTAGTAATCTTTAGGTCTAATGAGATGTTTCACGCTTATCTTGTACATTTATATTCTAGACCAGGAATTACCCATTTTTCCAAGAAATCCTTTATTTTTTTGGTGAGAAATGTTATTTTGTGACTATAACCTGGGCACTAGGAATGTTCATTGCTGCCTGATTGGTCACTTCCTAGGCCTCTTCAGTGGACGTAGCTAAGAAATACATACCTACATATATTAAAGTTACAATACCTCATTAGTTTAAATACGTACTTTCAGTTCAAATTCAAGACTACAGAACCTTTACTTAACCTCTTCATTATATCTGTATCTCTTTTCTTCCATACCAGGAGTCTTGATTCTCAAGACTGTGGGGATGATGGAATTTGAATATTGGAATATCCCACAATTTCTCATTTATTTTATCCCTTATTATACACAACAATCTCAGTATAACAATACTAATACTATCACAAATGTGATTAGTAAAAACATTACTTTTTAAAAATTTTGCTTGTGCTCTCCTCATTCTCTAATAATTAAAACAAATATATTTATTTTAAAAAAGAGGTCACTTTGCTGAATTCAAGAGTAGAAGTAGGGAATCCTATGAGGAGGTTATTGCCGGTAGTTCAGGTAAGGGATGATCTTGGCTTGGTTTAGGATGGTAGTGGTAGAGGTGGTAAGAAGCAGTCAGATTTGGGATATATTTTGAAGGTAGAGTCGGTAGGATTAGATGTGAGTTAAGAGAGAAAGAGGAATTCTGGATGTCTTTTAACCTGTTGACTTAAGCAATTTGGTAAATAGTGCTATTTACTGGGATGAAGAATATTTGAGAAGGAGCAGATTTGGGGGGTGAAATGAAGGGTTTTATTTTGTACATTATAGGTTTAAGAAAGCTACCAGCTACCAAGTAGAGGTGCTGAATAGGCAGTTGTATATGGATCTGCAGCTAAGGAATAATGTCAGGACTGGAGATACAAATTTGGGAGTCTTCAGTATAGAGACATTATTTAAAGCCATGGGACTAAATGAAATCACTTAGAAAGTGAGCATTGAGAGTAAATAGTAGAGATGAGGACTGAACCTTGGAGCTTACTGACATGTAAAAGGCAGTCAGAGGGACTTCCCTGGTGGTGCAGTGGTTAAGAATCTGCCTGCCAATGCAGGGGACACAGGTTCGAGCCCTGGTCCCGGAAGATCCCACATGTTGCAGAGCATCTAAGCCCGTGTGCCACAACTACTGAGCCTGCGCTCTAGAACCTCCAAGCCACAACTACTGAGCCCAGGTGCCGCAACTACTGAAGCACGTGCTCCTAGAGTCCATGCTCCGCAACAAAGAGAAGCCACTACAATGAGAAGCCTGCCATGAAGAGTAGCCCCTGCTCGCCCACGTACAGCAACGAAGACCCAACGCAGCCAAAAAGAAATAAATGAATAAATAAATTTATTTAAAAAAAAAAAAGGCAGTCAGAGGAGGAGCTATCAAAACACAATGAAGGGGCTTCCCTGGTGGCGCAGTGGTTGAGAGTCCGCCTGCCGATGCAGGGGACGTGGGTTCGTGCCCCGGTCTGGGAGGATCCCACATGCCACGGAGCAGCTGGGCCCGTGAGCCATGGCTGCTGAGCCTGTGCGTCCGGAGCCTGTGCTCCGCGGCGGGAGAGGCCACAACAGTGAGAGGCCCACGTACCGCAAAACAAACAAGCAAACAAAAACACAATGAGGGACTTCCCTGGTGGTCCAGCGGTTAAGACTCCATGCTCCCAATGCAGGAGCCTGGGTTCGATCCCTGGTCAGGGAACTAAGAGCCCTCATGCTGCAACTAAAGATCCCATATGCCACAACTGAAGACCTGGCACAGCCAAATAAAACAAACAAACAAACAAACACACTGAGAAAGAGCAGTAGTGAGGTAGGAGATTAGCCATGACAGAGTAGCATCCTGAAACTAGGTGAAGAGAGTATTTTAGGAAGTCAAGAGAATAATCAGCTGTGTCATTTGCTGCTGAAGGGTGAGATGTAGACGAAGAATTGACTGTTGGGTTTGGCAAGGTTCGACATCATTGACAGATGTAGTTTCAGTGGAGATATGAAGGCAGGTGAAAGAATTTCAGCTGGTAAGTAGATTAATGTAACCTAAAACCCTTCTGCCACAAACATCTAGAAAGGGGAGAGGAAATAGAAACAATTCTTTTTTTTCAAATACATAATCAAGCTTAAAAGAAAGAAAGTGAAATCCTCAAGTGCCAGAGACAAAGTGGGAACTGAAAATCAGAGTGGTTTTCAGTTTTCAGTGGTTTTCAGTGGTTTTCAGAGTGGCTGCCTGTGGAGAGGGTAGAAATTATTATCTTGAGAACCTGCAGGCTTAAGTTTAAGGGCAGAGCAACTAAGCCTGTGCGCCACAACTACTGAGCCTGCGCTCTAGAGCCCACGAGCCACAACTACTGAAGCCTGCGCCTAGAACCCGTGCTCTGCAACAAGAGAAACCACCGCAATGGGATGCCCGGGCACCGCAACGAAGCGTAGTCCCCGCTTGCTGCAACTAGAGAAAGCCCACGCGCAGCAACGAAGACCCAACACAGCCAAAAATGAATAAGTAAATTAATTAATCAATTTATTTAAAAAAACACACAACAAGATACTCCTGTGTATCCATCAGATTGGCAAAATTAAAAAGTCTGACAGTACTAATTATTGCTGAGCATGTGGAGTATCAGGAACTCTCATCCACTGGTGGTCAGATGCAAATTAGTACAACTACTATGGGAAAATAACTTGGAATTATCTGTTAAAATTAAAGATATGCATATCATATAAACCAGTAATTTCACTCATAGCTATATGCCTTAGAAAAAACTCATGTGTGTATAAACAAGTTGAATATATGATTGAATATAGCAACATTATTGATAATATCCAAAAATTGGAAGACCCCCAATATCCATCTGTAGTAAAATGCTTAAGTAAATCATGGCATATTTATTTAGTGGAATAATATTTAGTGATGAAAGAGAATGCTAAATGCAACAGCACAGATGAATTCATAAACATCGTTGAACAAAAGAGCAAACTCAGAGTATGTACGATGCGATTCTGTTTACAAAAGTTTAAAAACCTGACATAGGTGAATTATATTGTTTTAAAGATAAGGGAACAATTATCAAGAAGTTGGGAAAGTAGTTATCTTTGGGAGAAAGGAGAGGGCTGTGATGGAGGAGAGGCACACTGGGCCTTTGGTGTATTCTATTTCTTGAATTGCTTTTCGGTTACATGGGTTTTTGTATTATTCAGCAGTACGTATATGTTTTATGTATTTTTTTCTATTTATGTTATATTTCACAATTAAAAAGTAAAGTATTGATATATTGGACTAAGAATTGGGTCTGGGTTCTAGTTCTAGAATAGTCTGCTACTTATACCCTTAGTGTCTTAGTTTTCTATCTGCTCTGTTTCCCTCATTAATTTGCTGTGAGAATTAAATAAAGCACTTAGAGATGCTTTGTAAATTATAAAGCCATGTACAGATAAGGTGTTGGTTTATTGTTACTATGGTATGTGATAGAATACTACTGGGTAGTGGAGAGTATTATCCATGTTAATAGAGTAGTACCATGGAATATAATTATTTTGACAAGGATTTATGAGCATCTGCCATGGGGCTAACAGTATGTTTGTTGCTATGGAAGACAAAAAATGCAAAGCCCAACAAAGAGCTTAGGGAGGTGAGTTTCACTAGCATATTGCCCAGAAAATACTAGTTAAATGAACAAATGAAAAGTGTGAAACTGCAGAACTATTAGAAGCTGACCAAACATAATAAAGTTCTAGTTATTTAGTAGAGACAAAATAAGCAGGAAGGATAAATCAGAATTTCAGTTTAACAGGCTATCGTTGTGAAGAATTTGATTCATTCTTGAAATCCCAGAAAGAGCTTGTTATGTATAATAATCTATGTTATAGATTTCTGCAGTAACATTACTGTAAAACACTGTTGCAATTGCTAGTTGGTATACAATGATATTGGAATGATTTTGAATTTATATTTTAATATGCCATCTGATACCATGGGAGTATTCAAGACAGTTATCCAAGTAACGAGGCTTTGCTAGATAGACCCAGCTAGAAGGCTACCTGGTTTATGTCCTGTTTGTCTAGTCCTTAACTCTGGTAGAGTTAGCATCATCTTTCTGCTTAGCATAGAATGCCAGACTTAGCTGACCTGCTCTTCTAATCTTAAGGATATTTCTAACATCTTTCCCAGGATTAAGTGATACTTTGGTTTAAAAGTTAAACAATCAAACTGCATTTGTTTGAGCCCACATTATTAAGCTCCTGTTGTGTTAATGCTTCTGTGCACCTTCCCTTCGACTCCTTCAGTGCTTCAGATTACAGAACTGAGGTGGTTTGTCAACAAAGGATTAAGGCAGAGGAGGTGATAATCTAACTAGCAGAGTAAATAATACTCTGATCTGAGGGTGTTCAACACATGTTTTTGGAGTGAACCTAATGGAAAACAAGGTTTGCCATGAATAATCACAGTGTAGATCATGAGGAATGTAATTTATTCACAAATATATAAAAATGTGAAGCCATATAAGAGCCCAGATGAGAATAAGATGCTGTAAAACAATATAGTTTCCTATATGATGTGGAGCTCCTGCCAACTTTGAAGGGTATCTCAGCCCACTAGAAACCTCTGCCTTCCTTCTCTTCGCAGGCTTCCTGGGTATCAGCCATTTGGGTCAGCCATATTGGCCCCTGTGGTCAGCCAGCCAGCTGTGCTTCAGCCCTATGGCCCTCCCCCAACAAGTGCACAGGTGACGGCTCAGCTGGCTGGAATGCAGATCAGTGGTACTGTGGCCCCAGCCTCTCCACCTTCAGGGCTAGGCTATGGTGAGTAGCTGTGACCATAGGAATACTGTCCCCTTCTTTTTAGAAGCATCAGACTCTGGGGCTATACCTGAATCCCTTTTATTTCTTGTGCTTCTGAGCCCCAGCAGATGGGAGAAGTCATTCCTGCCCCTCATGTGGAAAGGAAAGTGATTTACTGAACAAGGAGGCAGAATGACTGGGGTTCTGACTCTACTTCTTCTACTTCTCAGGCCCACCAACATCGCTGGCCTCAGCCTCAGGAAGTTTCCCTAACTCTGGTCTGTATGGCTCCTATCCTCAGGGCCAAGCTCCTCCCCTTGGCCAGGCCCAGGGTCATCCTGGGACCCAGCCTCCCCAGCGATCTGTCCCACTACAGGCCTCCAGCTTCACACCCCCAGCTTCAGGGGGTCCTCGGATGCCTTCGATGACTGGTCCTCCCTTGCCTGGACAGAGTTTTGGGGGGCCCCCAGTGAGCCAGCCCAACCACGTGTCCTCACCTGCTCCTCAAGCTCTGCCCCCTGGCACCCAAATGACTGGGCCCCCAGGACCACCACTACCACCTATGCACTCCTCCCAGCAGCCAGGCTATCAGCTGCAACAAAATGGTGAGTTTTTCCCAAGGTCTACCTAGGAGCCAAAGGCTTTAGCAGTTCACGTGTTTTTGTTGTTGTTTTTATTTGCTTTTAGTATTGTTTGCTAAGTGGTGAACTAGATAGACAGCTTCAGGGTATTATTACTAGGATCTGGGGTTTATAAGATTTTTTTTTCTCTTAGTTCAGGTAGTGTGGGCTTTCTCTGAATGGTCACTACTGTACCTCTCAATTCTACATTTATAGGAGTCTAGTAATTTCCGTGAGGCCTTAAGAAGAGATAGAGAAGGAATAATTTGTTCATCAACCTTGTGTCCTTGTCACTTAGGTTCCTTTGGACCAACCCGGGGCCCTCAGTCCAATTATGGAAGTCCCTACCCGGGAGCAGCCACTTTTGGAAGTCAGCCTGGGCCTCCTCAACCATTGCCTCCTAAGCGCCTGGACCCCGATGCCATCCCGAGCCCTGTAAGTAGATACTTATGTGGTCCTGGGGAAGGTGCTTGTGGCTGCCAGATAAGTGAGTCAACCTAGAAGAGATGTTTGCCTAGGCTTTTCTGATTTTCCTTTTCGTTCATCATCTTGTAGGCGTAGAACCTAGATGTAATTTTTGACTCTTTAACTAGAACTTGAAGTCCCAGAAATCTTCTGGGGGCACTTTTACTTCATAGCTGGGCAGGAAAGGAAGGGAAACCAGGAGTGATCAACAGTATCAGTAGAGCTCTGGGTTGAGTGCTGCATTCTGCCACTGCTGGACAGAGCACGGTAACCTCTGCTCTTCTGTGGAGTAGTGGGTGGGTCCAGGTCTTGTCCTCTTAGATCTAGTAGGATAGCAGTCTTCTTAACGGGTAGAGCTGGTGGAAATTCTCTGGTGTTAGGTGGTAAGAAAAGGAAAGCCTCTCTGGATTCTCTCTGCCCTTATTTGGACAGTGTTTTAGGAGGAAGCCTCCAATACTTTTGTTTGTTAGCCTGCTGCTGTGTGGATGGGGAATAGTGATCTACAATTTCAAGGGCGATGTGGGGAAGTTGCTTCTCCCAGGAAGAGGGTGAATCTCACCCTTAGAGCCATCAGAATACTCAGGCCTTCCTCATCATACACAGAATAGAGGCTGGTACTGTATTCCCAAGTGGAGGCCACTTTATAGTTCTGTCTGCAACATTTGCTATGTCAATTACCTCACCATGCTTAGCCATTGTCATATTCCATTCTGTTCTCTTCCCTCTTCCTTTGGGGAACTATCATGGTGAGGGACCCAGTTGGCAAAGGGGGACTCTAGAGGATTAAGCAGTCCCTCTTTCCTTCTCCCTCCTTTAGTAAGAAGGAGAGTCTGGTTGGATGTGAGGCTTCTTTCAGCATAAGAATAGTTCTTACATGGGAGGCTTGGCCTTTTGGAGGGAACATCCCTCTTCTTCCTTCTTAAAATTTCTCCCATTCAGCCCCTCTGTATAACCCCTCTTGCCTCCTATTTGCCCCCTTCCTTATCTTTCTACATCATAGCCTGAGCCATTAAAGGCTCTTTTTTGGCCCAGAAACATTTGGAATTTCTGATCTGGGGGGGCCTGATTTCAGCAGTATGAGCTGGGCTCCATGGAGTTAGTATGAGCTAACTCCATGAGTTAGCTGTTCATGTCTAACTCATCAGGGCTGAGAGAAGTAACATCTGCTTCTTGTTCTTTTGTCTCCCTCCCTGTATTCCCCTGCTGCCTTTATTATTAAAACACTAAAAGCAACTCAATGAGCTGCCTCCTCAGCAGAAAACCAGACACAGAATAGACCCTGATGCCATTCCTAGTCCAGTAAGTGCAGGGGGTGGGTGTGTGTGTGTCATCCCTGTGTTAATGTCACCCATGCATGCCTGTGACCTCATCTTCACCTCATCCACCATGTCCATCCCTCCGCATCCTCTTCCCTTAGTCCTTCTAGACCCTTGCTTTTACAAGCTAGAAGGATGTGCATGCCTCGAGTCACCATATAATGAAGAAGTAGCAAGCTGTTAGCAGTGCCTTTAAGTATGGGATGGTAGAAGGTCAGGATCGAAGGGTGGGGTCAGATGGCATATTAAGCTTTGGTTTTAGTCCTGCTGGCTCCTCCAGGAGCCTGCATGTGACATAGGATGGAACAGGACAAAACTGAACAGTAGATCTTTCCCTTTTGGGTTTGATTTGTCTACTGCTTATTGTAGAGAAACATGTGGGTAGGTGGCTACTAATGTACAAATTTGGGAAGCTCATTTCTTACGGGGAGGGGTCAGCTGGTTTGGGAAAGTGTGGGCCACTTTCTCATCTGGAGAGTCTGTTTGACTCTGATATATTTCTAAGCTTCAACTCTTTCTGCTATGGGATACAGAGTCTTATTCTCCCTTTACTTTTTCTGGTTTTACCAAACCCATCTTGAAGTAACTGACCAAAGGTTATCAGCCTGCATGAAGGTCTGATCACCAGCTTTGCAAAATCTTTTTTTTTCCTTTGCTGGGTCTGTCAAAATGTGGGGGACTGAGGATTGGGCTATAATATCCTCTTCTTCCATATTTACACACTGATGCTTACCTGAAAATAAGGCAGCATCTGCTTCCTCACCTTACCTGATCATTTCCTGCTGTGTAATCCTCTCCTCACCCTGTCCCTTCTACTTTCATTGAGTGTAGAGTCATTCCAGGTAGATTTCATTTTTACATGTTTACCGTTGTCTGTTCCCCTGCTCTGATTCAGAATGTGTCTTGGGAAGAGAAGGGGAGGCAGAGGCTTGATGGGGGAGGGAAGTGGAATCTGATCACGTTTGAAGGCTTGTGATAAGAGCTGGAGCTTTCCTGGAGTAGGTATTATAACAGGGTGATCACCATTTATTGGGATCAGGGCGATTCATAAAGAAGCCCTTTCTCAATGTTGCCTGTCCAGCATGTTGCTGCTGACTGTGGAGTGGAAGATTGGTATTACAGCATTTTATATGATCTCCTAAAGGAGAGCAGGCCTGGTGCATGAGGCGTGTTCCTTGGCAAATTATTAGTTTCTGTGCTGCAGCTCCAGTGTTTCTTTCTCCTGGCTCTCTGCGACCTGCTACTCCCTTTTCATCTGTCACTTCATTCATTTCACCTCTTCCCTACAGATTCAGGTTATTGAGGATGACAGGAACAACCGGGGTTCAGAGCCATTTGTTACTGGAGTGCGGGGCCAGGTGCCACCCTTAGTCACCACCAACTTCCTCGTGAAAGACCAAGGTGAGAAGGGCATTAATTACTCCCTGCGGGGACTTTTTCTCCAGCATTATCAGCTTATGGATGGGGCTTTGTCAGTCTTTAATCAGAGACCAGTCCCTCATTGGTCTCTAGGGGGAAAAAGCCACCATCAGCTCTAGCATTTGTTGGGATGATGGGGTGGATTGGCAATGGAGAGCCAGTGTCTGGAGTGATTCTGTGATCTGACTCAGCTTTTCTACCTCCGCTTCAGGGAATGCAAGTCCCCGATACATCCGATGCACATCCTATAATATCCCTTGCACATCTGACATGGCTAAGCAGGCTCAGGTGCCCCTAGCAGCTGTCATCAAGCCGCTGGCAAGGCTGCCCCCAGAAGAGGTGAGTCAGGGAAGGGACTAGAGTATAATGAAAGGGAGGAAGGGAGGGGGATTGGGGAGTGAGACTTCTTCCTAGATGTGATTCTGGCAGTCACAATGGAAGAAGTCTTGGTTGGGTGGGAGGGGTGAATATCTTCAATAGCTTTCTATCACAGGGCCCATGCCTGAAGGGGTGGTAGGGATGAGAGTAAAAGCCCAAGAAATTGCTGGATGGGAGCAGAGTCCACAGGGGAAACACATTATGGAAAGAGTCAAGGCCAACTTGTAGGGGAGAAGACAGCTGGTTGCAGGAACGTCTCATAGCATGGTCATCTCCAGATGATTAGAAGCACATCATTCTGTTTTTTCTTGTATGCTGTCCTGTCATCCCAGGTAAGTCGAGATGTTAGGACAACATATTAAGGAAAAAGGTAGATTAAGATCCAGTAGTCCTTCTTACCTGGTTTGGGCCATGATCTGTCACCCCAATCCCTGGAATCAGCATTGAAAGAGAGAGAGCTTGGCAGCTGCTCTGCCAGGCCTTGGTAGGATACCCTCATATTCACGCCTAGCTTAATGAACTTGGGGTGGATTTCTCTGTAACTGGATACTCACGGCTCACTTTACATCCTGTTTCTCTGTCTTGTTCTGTGTTTTTCTCTTTCTTTTTTCCTGGGTCTCAGTGGGGATGGTTGGACACTTGGCTGCTGGTCTCTTATCTGTAGGGTGACATCTGCCTGGGCGTCAGTAGGCTCACAGAAATCCAGGGATTGGAGAGGACAAATGTCATAGATACTTTGTTGGGAAAGGAGGTAGGAGTCAAGATCCTAGAGCAGGAGTGAAGGGGATTGAAGATTGGGCCAGAAATGAGAATCCTGGGTAATCTCTGGTTTTCTCCTCATACATCCATGTCAGCCCCTGGCTTGTTTGGGCCAGTTCCACAGTTGCTCTTCTCTTTCCAGAAGAAGTGAAATTCTAGAGATGAGGAGTAAGGAGAGGGGACTATAGAATTTAGACTCTTAGGGACATTCCTTAGAGACATTTGACATTTGTCCTCGTTCCCCTTCTCTCTGCTCCCTCCCCAGGCAGACTATCTGAGCCATGCCCTTCTCCCTCCAGGTTGTTCCTCCTCATCTGTTGCCACATATAGCTCCCTGCTGTAGCTTCCCTCTATGTCTGAGCCCCTCCCCTTTGCTCTTTAGGCTTCACCGTATGTTGTCGACCACGGGGAATCTGGCCCTTTGCGCTGCAATCGCTGCAAAGCATACATGTGCCCTTTCATGCAGTTCGTTGAGGGAGGGAGGCGCTTCCAGTGCTGCTTTTGCAGCTGTATCAACGATGGTATGTTCACAGAGGCTGGGGTTGGGGGGGATCTGGATTGCATCTTCATTGTTCTCTTTCTAGTTAGATAGATGAGGGTCCGTTGGTTCAGGAGTTGGGGAAATAAGGCGCCTGTGGGGATGTGGGGCAATAGAGTGAGCTCAGCCAGGACCCAACTAAGATTGAGCGTGGACCTTTGAGTAACACTCTGCCCTACTCCCCACAGTTCCCCCCCAGTATTTTCAACATCTGGATCATACCGGCAAACGTGTGGATGCTTATGACCGTCCTGAGCTGTCCCTGGGTTCTTATGAATTCTTGGCCACTGTAGATTACTGCAAGGTGAGGGAAGGTAGCCTGGGGAGCAGCAGTGGGTGGACAATGAGACAGCTAAGACTTGCTGTGGTCATTTCCCTCACCCCGTCATTGTCCCCTTTGGTGTTGACTTCTCTCTAGTCAACTGACCTGCTTACTAATACCCATCTCCCACCCCCGCCACCAACATTTCCTTCCTTTGCAGAACAATAAGTTCCCCAGCCCTCCTGCCTTCATCTTCATGATTGACGTCTCCTACAATGCCATCAGGAGTGGTCTTGTTAGGCTCCTCTGTGAGGAGCTCAAGTCATTGTTAGACTTCCTGCCTAGGTGAGAGTTAGGAGCCGAGGTGCTTCCTTTGGATAATGATGCCTGGGGAGGGGGCTTAGGGGTGGGTGGCTGGGTTAACTCAGCACATCGTGGATCCTGATGTCATGAAGTTGGGTGGTGGAGAAGTTGGCAACCGTGGGTAACAATGTCACCTTCTACAGGGAGGGCGGGGCAGAAGAGTCAGCAATCCGCGTTGGCTTTGTCACCTATAATAAGGTGCTCCACTTCTACAATGTGAAGAGCTCATTGGCCCAGCCACAAATGATGGTTGTATCTGATGTGGGTGACATGTTTGTGCCACTGCTGGATGGCTTCCTGGTCAATGTCAATGAGTCTCAAGCAGTCATCACCAGGTAGGAGTTAGACTGTGGGGGTAAAGCAGGGGTGGGGTGGATACAACCACAGAAGGCCAGAGAGTTGAGCAGAGCGTTCAGCAGATGTACAGAGGCTGTGCCTCAGGAGTTCTCAGAGTCTGGGGGCCAGATGACTCTTCAGGGAATTGAGGGATTTGAAATTTGGATAGCAATTTTGATTGCCTCCTATCACCTATCTCTTCAGCTTATTGGATCAGATTCCAGAAATGTTTGCAGACACAAGGGAGACAGAGACAGTATTTGCCCCAGTTATCCAGGCTGGGATGGAGGCTCTGAAGGTAAGGCTCGAGTCCCTGGCAGCCACCTCTGCAACACTGTCTTCTGACCATCTTACCCCCTAGGATACAACCCCTGTATCTTCGGTGATTGATGGCTGTGCAGTGAGTCAGCTTGTCTGACATAGTTGGCACTGAGTAAATGACGAGGGAAGGGATGAATGAATAATGGATGAATAAAGGAAAGAATGGACAAGTAGATCTCTCTTCTTTTCTAGGCTGCTGAGTGTGCAGGGAAGCTCTTTCTGTTCCACACCTCCCTGCCCATTGCAGAGGCCCCAGGGAAACTGAAGAACAGAGACGACAGGAAGTTGATCAACACAGACAAGGAGAAGGTGTGGGATTGGGAGCTGCTGGGAGGACTTTCTATTACAGAGGAACATGCTGTCTATTCACAATGCAGTACTCTTAACTTTCTTGAGGGAGACTGGGACTGGATCCTCTGCCCTTTCACATGTCACATCCGTGACTGCCAACCTTCTCCACTGCTCCCACACCTCTACCCCATCCCAAAGCCCTTGGTAGACTTTTTTTTTTTTTTTAAGAGACTGTTCTGTTACTATTGCAAACTGAGAGGTACATCTGAAGTCTTACATGTCCTTGAATATCCCATATTACATATACAGCATATACAGTTCTCAGGCAGGGTGGAACTGGGATCTTTGAACATTTTTTTCCTGTTCTTCCCCAGACTCTGTTCCAGCCTCAGACAGGTGCCTATCAGACCCTGGCCAAAGAGTGTGTGGCCCAAGGCTGCTGCGTAGACCTCTTCCTCTTCCCTAACCAGTATGTGGATGTGGCCACGCTCTCTGTTGTACCCCAGCTCACTGGTGGCTCTGTCTATAAATACGCTTGCTTTCAGGTACGGCATGGGACTCTGGGTGGCAGGTGGAAGCAGGACTGGGAATGCCTGCCTGCATGTGGAGTGGCCCCTTAGCTGCTGACTCATTAATAGGAATAGCGTTGGAGGAGAAGACTGCACAGTGTACAGAAGAGAGTGTGGCAGTCAGGAGCACGGGGCTTGGAATCAGTCCCGGGTTGATATTCTGGCCCTACTATTTACCAGCTGTGTGACCTAGGATAAATTACTTAATTATTCTCTCCTTTGTTTCTTTATCTACAAAATGGGATTTTTATAGTTATTAATTAGGATTTATCATCAGGATTAAGTAATTATATGTAAGGCACTTAATGAGATACCTGGCATGTAATATGTAATAAGTGCTTAAAAGCTATCATTATCATCAACATCATTATCTTCACTGTTACTGTCATTATGATTCTGCAGGCTTGTAGAGTGGAGGGGGTGCAGGGAGATTGTTTATATGTAGTCAGTGATGTGACTCTGAGCCTGGGGGGATGCAGGTGGAAAATGACCAGGAACGGTTCCTGAGTGACCTGCGTCGGGATGTACAGAAGGTCGTTGGCTTTGATGCTGTGATGCGGGTCCGGACAAGCACTGGTCAGTCCTAGTTGGAGAAGAGCAGGTGGGGGGGCTCAGTCTGGAGGGAGGCACCTGTCATACCTTTAGCCCTGTCCATGTGGTCTTAGGTATCCGTGCTGTAGATTTCTTTGGGGCTTTCTACATGAACAACACAACAGATGTGGAGCTGGCTGGGCTGGATGGGGACAAGACGGTGACTGTGGAGTTCAAGCATGACGATCGGCTCAATGAAGAGAATGGAGCCCTCCTGCAGGTAGGGGACAGGAGGCAGGGGTTGGGGAAGAAGTGTCCGCGGTCATATCACTGGATATAAACAGGCTGTAGGGAAGCGGGTGAGGGATGGGTAGAGAAGACTAGAAGAGGCTGGAGAAGGGATGGCTCATGTCTGTCTTCTAGTTTAAGAATATAGCAGAGGCAGTTTTCCAAGGGCTATGCTGAGGGAGGGGTGTGAATTCCCCCTTTCTCCCTTCCCCTAGTGTGCCCTGCTCTACACCAGCTGTGCAGGGCAGCGACGGCTCCGCATCCACAACCTGGCCCTCAACTGCTGCACTCAGCTGGCTGATCTGTATCGAAACTGTGAGACTGACACGCTCATCAACTACATGGCCAAGTTTGGTGAGGGCAGAGGCAGGGCAGGGTGGGATTGGGGCTAAGAGAAAGGTCCAGGATGGTCAACAATTCAGCATTCCTGAGTGGGTGTGATGGTGGGAAGGCGCATGTGATGGAGTGGCTGACCATTGACTGTGCTGTCTCCCTTTCCCATCCAGCATACCGGGGGGTCCTGAGCAGCCCTGTGAAGACTGTTCGTGACACTCTTATCACTCAGTGTGCCCAAATCTTGGCCTGTTACAGAAAGAACTGTGCCAGCCCTTCCTCTGCAGGACAGGTAGGGCAAGCATATTGGTGGAGGAGTTGTTGGGTTACATTTTTGCATTGGGAGGGATTTCTCATGATTATTGACTTTGTTTTGATAACCCCCTTAGTTGATCCTTCCTGAGTGCATGAAGCTACTCCCAGTTTACCTGAACTGTGTATTGAAGAGTGATGTCCTGCAGCCTGGAGCTGAAGTCACTACTGATGACCGGGCCTACGTCCGACAGCTGGTTACCTCCATGGATGTGGCTGAGACCAATGTCTTCTTCTATCCTCGGCTCCTACCGTTGGTGCGACTGAGTGCTGGAGTGTGAGACATTGTAGTGAGAAAGGGACATCATAGGAGGACGAAGGGAAGGATTAATATTATCTGTGTCTGACACTCATGAATTTTTTACCTATCTTATCTGATGTAATATTTTCATACTGAGAGTTACTCAGGTGCTTAGCTTTCTGAAATTTCGTGTGTATGGGGGTGGAGGATGGGGGTGTGGGTGGGCAAACGAGTCTTATGGTCCTTGGTAACCGTTTGCCCCCTTCCTTTTGTCTAGACAAAGTCTCCCATTGAGAATACCACTGAACCACCAGCAGTTCGAGCATCTGAAGAGCGTCTAAGCAACGGGGATATATATTTGCTGGAGAATGGGCTCAACCTCTTCCTCTGGGTGGGAGCAAGTGTGCAACAGGGTGTTGTCCAGAGCCTCTTCGGTGTCTCCTCCTTCAGTCAGATCACCAGTGGCTTGGTGAGGGCAGGAGTCAAGGAGAATGTGGGTGTGGAAGTAGACTCTGTGATATGAGTTAGGAGCCAAGAAAAGTGTGTTCATTCCCTTAAATAGCAGGGTACACTTAGAGAGGGAGGGTGCTGTCATTCTTCACAGGCTTCCATATTTCAGATAATGCATAAATCTGTGCTGTCCCATCTTCACTTCTGGATTCAGCATACCTTACCATAAGGATAAATGAATTTTGTGTTCCAGAGTGTTCTGCCAGTTCTGGATAATCTACTGTCCAAGAAGGTGCAAGGCCTCATTGACAGTTTGAGGGCACAGAGATCACGGTACATGAAGGTAACACTGATCCGGACCTGGATTTCTTACCTTGTCAAGTCCTCACTGGGAAGGGGGATGGGGAGTAAGTGACTAGATAATGGGATTTTAGGGCATGTTTAATTCCCTTTAGCCCTGCCTCATGACCCTGTGTTCTGGCCATAGCTTATTGTGGTGAAACAAGAGGACAAGCTGGAGACACTGTTCAAACACTTCCTGGTGGAAGACAAGAGCCTGAGCGGTGGAGCATCCTATGTGGACTTTCTCTGTCATATGCACAAGGAGATTCGGCAGCTACTGAGCTAGAGCATGTGGTAAACAGCATAGGGTCCAGGCCAGCTTCCAGAAAGTACCCCAGGACAGCAGAGAAATTGGGACAGTTCCATATATTATAAGTCATATAAGCTGACCTCAGTCTCTTTGGGGGGAGGGGGAGGTATAAGGAGACACCTTCTTTCTGGGCTCAAGTATCCTACCACTCTGTCATGTCCTGCTGTTGGAAGGTGCCCCTGTCCCCTCACTTTACCATTTTCCTGCTAATCCTGTCGTAATGAATGTAGTTTCTCAGTTCACTGTATATGATTTGGTGTTGGGGGATTTGGAGCCACCCAGACCCTGATAATATTATGTGTCCCTTTGGACCTGCCTCCAAGAAGAGAAGGGCAGACAGGAAGGAGTGAGGATCCCAGGGTATTACAGGGGGAGGGGCTGCGAAGTCAGCTCATTGTCATCGACAACTTCCTATATTAGGGATAAACATACTTACAGGTGCACAAGAGCTGGGGTATAGACCATAGATGGTAGAGAGAAAAGTGGTCAGTCTTCTTGGGCCTGGAAGTCAACAGCCAACTCAGAGTGACTGAGGGTGGTTGATTAGCTTTCTTGCTCTGCTTCCACTGATCTTTCTCTCTCCTGAAATGATTGGTGATCACTTGGTGAATAGAGGCACGTAATCAGAAATGAATGAGCCTGGGAACAGAGTTGCAAAGTATATTAAGACCTGGTAGCGGTATCAGCCTCCTTTCCAGCTGGAGAGGCCCCAACACTGGATGGTTCTGTAGGGAGCCTGGCCATCGACTTGCAATACCTCACAGAGCCAGCCCGCATCCCACTCTGAGCTCCCGCTGGAAGCACTGCTCTCCAAGCTGGAGGTTGTTGGGGAGAGAGGCAGAGGTGTCTAGTCTCTCCTGCTAGGACACCACTCAGGCTTTCGTACTGACAGAGTGGCTGACAGTTATCTTCCAACCCCACCTAGCTGGGGCAGGACAAGGGCTAGGCTTGATGGTGGCCAGGCTTGCCTGCTCCCAGCCCGGGACGCCCCTGCTCTGGACCTCTCATTTCTCTTCGTTGGTTTATTTTTCAATGCATCTTTAATTTGTAAAGAAATAAAATAAATTAAGATGTAACCAGCAGCCTCCGTTTTATCTGTGACGTATTACTTTCCTTGCAGTACTTCCTGCCAGGATTAGCGGCTCCCGCGAGGTGGCCGGCTGAGGTGGCCACTGAGCTGCGCATGCGCCATGTGCCCCTGTGGCGTAGGACCTCGTCCCGTCGCGACTCACCGCGAGGTGGGGCCTGTTGCTGAGGGGCTTCGGCTGTCAGAGTAGACATGGGGGCCGGCCGCACGGGGGCTGTGCTTGCTGCCCTGGGAGTGCTTAGTGTCTGTGCGGCCAGCGGCTCAAGGCCCGTGGCGGAGGGGGAGACCGGCGGGGAGGTGGAGTGGGCGGAGCCGTGGGACGGCGCAGTTTTCCGGCCTCCCTCCGCGCTGGGCGCAGTGGGGGTGGCGCGCGGTCCAGGGACCCCGCGGCCGGGGAGGGGGGAGGCGGTGGACCTGCCGGTGCTGCTATGGTGGAGCCCAGGGCTGTTCCCTCACTTCCCGGGCGACTCGGAGCGCATCGAGTGCGCGCGCGGCGCGTGCGTGGCCTCCCGGGACCGACGGGTGCGGGGAGACTCGCGGACGCGCGCACTGCTCTTCTACGGCACCGACTTCCGCGCGTCCGAAGCGCCGCTGCCGCGCTTGGCGCACCAGAGCTGGGCGCTCCTGCACGAGGAGTCGCCCCTCAACAACTTCTTGCTGAGCCACAGTCCGGGCATCCGCCTCTTCAATCTTACCGCCACCTTCAGCCGTCACTCGGACTACCCGCTGCCGCTGCAGTGGCTGCCCGGGACCGCCTATCTGCGCCGCGCGGCGCCTCCGCTCCCGGAACGCGCGGACTGGCGCCGCCGGGGCTACGCGCCGCTGCTCTATCTGCAGTCCCACTGCGACGTGCCTGCGGACCGGGACCGCTACGTGCGCGAGCTCATGCGCTACATCCCGGTGGGTGAGGGGGGGCGGGAAGGGGAGGGTGGCGCGCCGGGCTGAGGCCGCGACCCCTGGTGTCCAGGCCGACGTGCCATATCTTTTTTTTTTTTTTTAACATTTTTATTGGAGTATAGTTGCTTTACAATGGTGTGTTAGTTTCTGCTTTATAACAAAGTGAATCAGTTATACATATACGTATATCCCCGTATATCTCTTAAGTCTCCCTCCCTCCCACCCTCCCTATCCCACCCCTCTAGCTGGTCACAAATCACCAAGCTGATCTCCCTGTGCTATGCGACTGCTTCCCACTAGCTATCTATTTTACATTTGGTAGTGTATATATGTCCATATATACGCTACCCATACCCTCTTGACGGCGTGCTGTACCCCACTCAGGTGGACTCATATGGGAAATGCCTGAAGAATCGGGAGCTGCCCACGCCGCGGCTACAGGACACAGCCACAGCCACCACTGAGGATCCAGAACTCTTGGCCTTCTTGTCCCGCTATAAGTTTCATTTGGCCCTCGAAAATGCCATCTGTGACGACTACATGACGGAAAAACTGTGGCGCCCCATGCACCTCGGTGCTGTGCCTGTGTACCGCGGCTCTCCCTCTGTGAGGGACTGGGTGCCCAACAATCACTCCATCATCCTCATTGACGACTTTGAGTCGCCGCAGAAGCTGGCAGAGTTTATTGACTTTCTGGACAAAAATGATGAGGAATATATGAAATACCTGGCATACAAGCAACCTGGGGGCATCACCAACCAGTTCCTTCTGGATAGTCTGAAGCAGCGGGAGTGGGGAGTGAATGATCCTTTACTGCCTAACTACCTTAACGGCTTCGAGTGTTTCGTCTGTGACCACGAACTGGCTCGGCTGGATGCCGAGAAGACCCATGCAGCCTCTCCTGGGGACATCCCTGTCCCTGAGCCTCATATTGCCCAGACCTCACACATGGACTGCCCAGTGCCCACACCTGGCTTTGGCAGTGTGGAAGAGATTCCTGAGAACGACAGGTAAGGGTAGCTGGGGTCCCCTGTGGCTGTCAAATCAAATGATTTACTGACTTTCTTCCTGCAGGCAATAAATTAGCACTAGGTGTTGTATAAGGAAATTATGACATGGGATCACTCTGCCTTTAAGGTATCAAGAGTCTAGTTGTGGGGATAAGACAAACTGCGAAAGCTCAGTAAAAGATGTGAGATACCATTCAGGGCAACAACATACAAAAATCAGCTTTTGTAAACAATGTTTGCAGTAGTTCAAAAAAAGCTTCAACTAGAGCAGAGGGCCCATTCAGGGAAGCAATGGGGGAGAGACAAAGCTGGGCCAGGTTGTACATATTCTGAATACTAGGTTCTGGAGCTGGACTGTCCTGAAAATCAACTCAGCTATTTATGGAGCACCTTCAGCATGGTGGGGCTGGGGGTGAGAGATACAGAAGAGAGTATTCTGAGGGAGGTTTGTCTGCAACAATCAGGGTTTATACCTGTTAACCTGGTGTAACTATTAACAGCACCTCCTTTCACTCTTAAAATTACCCTGATTTGGATGATAAATTATGTTTGTCCTAGACAGAGTAGAAGGGATGCTTTCAAAGGATGATTAACAATGGTGGGCAGTGTGGATTGGAAGGGAAGTGAGGGGGCTACTGCAGTAGGTGGCAGAAGGTGGTGACATTGGAAAACAAGGTCAGCATGGGAGGTGGGGTGGGAAAATGTTGAAGCCACTTGCAGCAAACCACACCTGTTGGGGGAGGGGTGATAAAAGATTATTAGCCGTGAGAAAGAGAGGCTGCTAGAATGTCCTGCAGAGATCACCTTGGACAGTGGATGGCAGCAGAGGGCTGGCACAGTTTGTTCCTGGGAGTGGAGGTAATTTGTATCCAGTAATTTACATCAAGTAATTTGTATCTAGTTTGTGCTGAACATAATATTATGATTTATCAGAGGAAAAGTGTAACACATTAAAAAAAGAGAAACATTCAGGTTCTGTCTCATCAAGACACTGGATACTATTGCACTTTCATTTTGATTATTGAAATAGGTGTAACATAAAAGGTAACCATCTAAATATGCCCCCTTGCTTTTCTTAGGGAGATTACTGTGTCCATAGTTTGGCCCCTGTCCTGCCTGCCTCTTAATTCCCTCCACATTTAGGGACCAAGAGCAGGCAAGTCAGGAAATTTAACTCATTGGGGGAGAGGGGGTGTTGTGTGATAAATTTGTGTTTGTGGCTTACTGCCTGTCACTTGGACTAGTACGGGGTTTACTTCACATTTCCTTCCCTCAAAGCGGATCCCTCGTCCTAGCCATAAACCACTGTATCTGCTTAAGATTTCTTTGGCCATTCAGAGAAAGGTAGGACTCACAGCTGTGCTGAGGTTCCGTAATCCAACTCCCATTTTGATGTTTCAGCTGGAAGGAGATGTGGCTGCAAGATTACTGGCAAGGCCTGGACCAGGGGGAAGCTCTCACTGCCATGATCCACAACAATGAGACACTGCAGAGGAAATTTTGGGATTACCTAACTGAGATCTTCATGAAAAGGAACCAAAATCTCTAATTACTCTTGCAAGAGTCCTTAACTTGATAGAGCTAAGGAGATGGAAGTCCTTATTCTACCATGGGACAGGAAGGGTATCTGCTACGCAAGTTCTTAATGAGCACTGTCTTACCATGAGTTCAAAGAATAAGTTATATCTACTGATATTTTATCCTAAAGATGTGTAGCCAGGGTCTCAGCCTATGGTAATAGGGCCTCTCCTCAAGGAGAGATGGAGGCATCCAGTTCTTGGTTTAGTGGGAACCAGAAGCCTGAAACACCCATTTGATTAAAGGTGCTGATCAACAAAAATTTTAAAGAACTGCTTATTTCTCTAGCCATATCATCCTCTCAGTCATGATTGGGACAACACGTTAGTACTTGGCTGTGAATGAGGTAAGATGGGCCAGGTTTAGCATCTTTAGAAAACTACTGTGCTATTCCTCAAACCATTCATTATTCAGTACCTTTCCCAGTCTCCTTTCCTCATCTCTTGCTTTATAAACTGTTATGTTGGTGGTGAAGCAAAACTCCTGGTGGGTTGTATTTGGCTCTCTGGAGTTGTATTTTTTATATCATTTACTTTGCTTTTCATGTCAACCTTTTCATTTTGAATGGCTTTTTCTTTCCTGGTTTTCCACAATTTCTGATGGAGACGGAGTAGCCTTGCCACCATTCCCACATTCATTTTCCCCAGCATTAAACTGCCTGTAGATTTGACAGCTTTTCTTACTGCTGGTTTGCTTCTTATCTAGGGCATATCTGAAATTCCTTCTCCACTCATGAGTAGAAAGATTCAGTGGCTAATAAATGTCATGCCAATTTAATGAATTGTCCTGCTCTATTTTAGATTAGAGATGGAGACTCAGGCTGGAAATGACAGCAGAAAAAGCTATGATTTTGAAATGTTGAAATAGGCCAGTGTGAATCTAAGTGCAGATTTTTATAAGTCCTTGATCTCTTCTGTCTGCCTAATGAACTCTTCTATTATTTTTATATGCTACAAAAGTCCATTTCCCCCCAAAACTCATGAAAATTATGACAGAAAAAAACAGCCCAGCAATATAGCTCTAGTAATTCTTCCATATTCTGTGGCACTTTTCACTTTAAGTGGGATAAATATTCCAACTTCATTCGCTCTATTACTGTTACAACGCACAACTTTATAGTACTTACTGAGACTACATTTTGATGGAGCCCACCCACCTAAGCTCAAGGGCATGAGAAGCGAAGCAAGACATTTAAGCCATCACAAGTGGCTGGCTAAATAAAAAGTTGTTAGTCAGATTTAGGGAGGTAGCCAGACCCTTCTATTGCTGTGGTTTAAACATACAGCTTAATGGACAGGGAGACCATTTGCTTTTTCTGGGGCAGTGGAACAAGAAAGAATACCTTGGATCTTAGAACTACCCTGGTTGTAATGTTGTATTAATGAGTTATCACTAGAGAAGTTCCATAGCTTATCAATATGTCTGGTTTAATTAGTGTGTGTGTATGTATGTATATATGCACACATTAATTTACAAACATATATATATATATAGTTGTAAAGACTGAAGAGGAAGATGATGCTTATGACTTCAGTACAGACTATGTATAATAGAATCTTGTCCTTCTATAAGGTTTTGTTGGGTTTTAATTTTTTTTTTACATCTTTATTGGAGTATAATTGCTTTACAATGGTGTGTTAGTTTCTGCTCCATAACAAAGTGAATCAGCCATACATATACACGTTCCCATATCTCTTCCCTCTTGCGTCTCCCTCCCTCCCACCCTCCTTATCCCACCCCTCCAGGCGGTCACAAAGCACCGAGCTGATCTCCCTGTGCTATGTGGCTGCTTCCCACTAGCTAGCTATCTACCTTACGTTTGGTAGTGTATATATGTCCATGCCTCTCTCTCCTTTTGTCACAGCTTACCCTTCCCCCTCCCCATATCCTCAAGTCCATTCTCTAGTAGGTCTGTGTCTTTTATTCCTGTCTTATCCCTAGGTTCTTCATGACATTTTTTTTTCTTAAATTCCATATATATGTGTTTGCATACGGTATTTGTCTTTCTCTTTCTGACTTACTTCACTCTGTATGACAGACTCTAGGTCTATCCACCTCATAACAAATAGCTCAATTTCGTTTCTTTTTATGGCCGAGTAATATTCCATTGTATATATGTGCCACATCTTCTTTATCCATCCATCCGGTGATGGACACTTAGGTTGTTTCCATCTCCAGGCTATTCTAAATAGAGCTGCAATGAACATTTTGGTACATGACTCTTTTTGAATTATGGTTTTCTCAGGGTATATGCCCAGTAGTGAGATTGCTGGGTCATATGGTAGTTCTATTTGTAGTTTTTTAAGGAACCTCCATACTGTTCTCCATAGTGGCTGTACCAATTCACATTCCCACCAGCAGTGCAAGATTGTTCCCTTTTCTCCACACCCTCTCCAGCATTTATTGTTTCTAGATTTTTTGATGATGGCCATCCTGACTGGTGCGAGATGATATCTCATTGTAGTTTTGATTTGCATTTCTCTAATGATTAATGATGTTGAGCGTTTTTAATATTTTGAGCAGACTGCTAAACTGTTCTGTGTGTGATATACCAGCTTTTTAAAAAATTAATTTATTTGTTTTTATTTTTTATTTTATTTTATTTTTTTTGCGGTACGCAGGCCTCTCACTGTTGTGGCCTCTCCCGTTGCGGAGCACAGGCTCCAGACACGCAGGCTCAGCGGCCATGGCTCACGGGCCCAGCTGCTCCGCGGCATGTGGGATCTTCCCAGGGCCAGGGATCGAACCCGTGTGCCCTGCATTGGCAGGCAGATTCTTAACCACTGTGCCACCAGAGAAGCCCACCAGCTTGTTTTTAAATTTAGGAAATCTAGCTCTTTAGAGCTAGATCAAAGCTAACATCAAGTGTTTATTTAAAAAAATAATGGCACCTGCTTGGAATGGGGTGAAGATTTACAGAGAATTTACCATTTTTGGCTGACGTGAAACTATATAATATACTGCAAAATGGAAATTCTGCAACAGACCTCGCAATAAACATTTATATATATGGGGTGCTCATATATTGTTTATATATGAGATGCTTCAACAACTAGGGTCCTAAAGATGTGGCCAAGCAAAGCTATAATTTAGGCTGGGTTTCACTGCCAGGGTGGTTCTTTTTTCTTTTCCTTTTTTTTTGGCTGTGCCGCATGGCTTGTGGGACCTCAGTTCCCGGACCGGGGACTGAACCCGGGCCCTTGGCAGTGAAAGCACAGAGTCCCAACCACTGGGGAACTCCCCTTTTTTCATTTTATTTAATAAAAAATGCCCTTCATAACAGCATGGAAAGTTTTCTGTTTGGACTTTTGCAGAAAAGAATAAGAGAGAAAGACAGACCTTCGAAAATAATTATGTTAAAATTTGATATAGTAAGGACTCTTACAAAAGAAGCCAAATTCAGGACTCTGATTTCTAAGCTTGCAATCTATTTAAATGCAGATGCTAGTTTATGTAGTGCAAAATACATTATTACCCAAGTGCAAAATAAGGTTAGGACTCAAATTTCATTATGTGCAATGAAAAGGGTAGGTGATGGTTATGCAAGGTGTAGAATCATCCCTACCTCTCCTGTCTAATTACAACAGTTCACACTGGCATTACCTTAGCACTTTTATGTACAAAGTAGGCCAGTTTTTTATGAATGATTGTGGCTGGAGACTTATGCCTGCTTTGTGGTCAGTGCTTCCCAGACTTTCTCCTTTATTCCTCTTACCATAAAAGTATTCAAAACCAGGTGCTACATTTCTACAAGGGAAAGCAGAACCAGGAATAGCCACATGGCTATCTAACTAAAGCCTTCACTTTCTCTGTGGAGAAAGCAAGCAATGTGAATTTTCTCTGGTTTGGGGCCCAGCCTGCTCTGTATACAGTAGCAGACTTGGGGTTATTGGTGGTAGAAGTTCTGATAGGAATTAGCTTTATTTGTGTTGCTGCAGTGGGGGTGGAGCATGGGGCTGATGCCTTTATTATTCCCGAGTTGCTTCTTCGATTATCACAGGTTTAATTTTGTATAATAAATGGCTTCTTTTTAAACATTGTCTTCTGCTTGGTTTTATTTCTGGGGTGAAGATGGTAAAGCTGGAGACTTGCAAAAATATTTCAAACATTTGTTCATTTAACAAGTATTTATTGGCACTACTCTAGGCCTTGGGGATACAGCACTGAACAAGATAGACAAGGTCCCTTCTCTCATGATGCTTACATTTTAAATGGGTGTTGGGGGGTAAGGCTGTAAACAAACAATAAATGAACAAGATAATCCAGACTATGAATAGGTACTCTGAAGAAAATAAAACAGGTTGGTGGTGGTTTGGATGGAAGTCAGGGAAGTCCTCTCTGACATGAACTGGGACTCAATAGAAGAAAAAGAACCAGTCATGCAGAGATAAATGGGAAGATTCCAAACATCTGTGGTAAGTGATTAGCACACACTAAATATTGCTTCTCCATAGTAGTCATCTTATGAACTACAAGCTTGTCCAAGTTATGCTTCCATTACCAGAGACACTTCTTGGAGCTCATGTGTAAATGCCTTGAGAATGAGTGGTTCATCTTTGGATTGAGTTTTGTAAACAGCTAAAAGTCACTTGGTGGGGAGGAGGGGGTGGGGGGAAAAAAGTAACTTAGAACCAAGTCTGATTAAAGCTAGGCATCATAATTGAAGGGCCAAGTGTATAAATAGGAATGGTACTGCTAAGTACCTTCAGAGGATTGGCGAGAGGATTAACTAAAACGATGAATGCGAGAAAGTGCTTAAACCTTACCCAATCCAGTGAGATCACTACAAATGAACAAACGATATCTAAGCAGCAGCAGCTGTTAAGAGTAAATGAGCCTATTTTTCTTCGCGGCTTCGGAGTGGCTCTAAAGGTAATCAAAACCAACAGTTCTTAAAGGTTTATTAAAATAAAATCATTCCCAATGCAGCATCTTAAACTCTTATATTTTGATTCGCTTCCATTCTCTCTGCCCTTGCCTGTGTCAATCACCCTCTAATCCAGACTTTACCACCAGAAACTAGAGTCCATTTATCAGGCCTCTTTCCTGAGTGTTCCCGGCCCAGTACTGCCCCAAGACTTCAGAGCCCGGAGCCTACAAGAGTCAGCGTAGATTCACAAAAGAGTCCCAAAGACTCTCCTCCTAACCTGCACACGGGTCTGCACCAGCCGTGATCCGAACCCGACATCAAGGCGACCCCGCCAAGAAAAGAAAAAGGTGCATGCTGGGGCGGGAGCGGGGGGTGGGGGTGGGAGACGTTGTCGCCGAGTCTCGTCGAGCTCGTAGGGGTCACGCAGGGTCACGCACGGCGCCGCGGAGCCTGCCGGGAGCTCGGTGAGCAATGGCGACGCCCAGCCTCCGGGGTCGGTTAGCAAGGTTTGGAAACCCGCGGAAGCCCATACTGAAGCCTAACAAGCCCCTCATCCTAGCTAACCGTGTCGGGGAACGGCGCCGGGAGAAGGGCGGTGAGCAGTCGGAGCCGTGGAGGCCCCAGAGCGGAAGTCGGAGGAGTGCAGAGGGCTGCTGGGTGGGAGGGCCGGAAGGTAAGGG